CCCCGCCCATCCCTTGGGCCCTCCCCCCGCAGGCCGGGGGCGGGGCCAGCTGCGCCCGCCCCCGCCGCTCAGGGCCCCGTGCGGCTGTCAGTCTAACGGTGCCCCGCACCGATTGGTCGAGCCGTCGCCGGGAGCGGGGACAGCACGTTGGGATGCGCACTACTTAAGGCTCTGCTGCGTGAGCCATTGACGTGTTTAGAGCTGGAGACTGCTTGTGCCCTGGTGCAGCAGCGTCTGAGGTGAGTAGTTCCCCCTTCCTCCCCCCGCCTTAGCGGCGTCTGTGGGGACTGGAGAGAGAGGGACGCACCTGAGCCGACGCTAGGCCCGAGTTCGCTTCTGCGGCGCTAAGCCTCCCCGCTGGGCCTCGCCGCCGCTGGCCCCCTTCCCGTCGCTGCTCTTTTCCGTCCAGATGGGTTAGTTCGAGCTATGGGCGGGGAAGGTGACCCCTGCGCTTTCGGGCACTTCAGGCTCTTACTTCAGCTTTCTTGGCTCTAGCCTTTGAAGCAGAATTGCCTCCCCTGCCCCCACACCCAGTCTTCTGCCAGTTTCCCTCGACCCTGCTCTTCCCGCCACTGTCTAAGCCCGAAGCAAGGTGTGGTTCACCTGTGTCCTCCATCCACGACTTAGGCGCGGACAGGCAGTCTCGCGGAAAGCAGCGAGACCTCAGATTCACATCTGTCTAGCCTCTCTAGTCGATTCCCCAACCCCTCCGGTATGCCACCTTTTGACTTCGTGCACCCTGCCTCTCCGCAGCGGTAGGTTAGGGGCTTTAGGTTCTCGCATGATGTGTGTCAGCTTCCCGATAGGTGCAGCTGCGTTTTATCAGCGCCTCAGAACCTGCCTGGGCTGACCAGCTCGTGGGCGTGAAGGTGTTCAGTAACGTTTCCTCCTTCCTCCTTCCCTTTCAAAGCTCCTTGGTGAGTGGAGACGTGAACAATAGGATAGGGAAATCAAGAAATACTCTTCTAAGAAGTTTGCCCTTTCGAATGGATTTTACAGTTATTCCTCAAATGTGCTGTGGTTTTGCGCCCCTCTCAAATCTTTGGTTTTCTTTCTAGCTACTCTCTGCAAGCAAACCCTTGTAACAGTTATTTAGTACCTTCAAGAAAAGTAGATAAGGCCTCTTTAGCAGAACACTCTGTCTTGCTCTTCAGCCCGTTCCTCACTCTAAATTGACGTTTCCTCTTCGTTTCCAGTTAATACATGAGGAACTCAGGCAAAGGGGGTGGCACTCAGAAATCCAGACTCATATTGACTTGTATTTAGAATCCGGAAAGAAAAGGAAATGCAATGTGAATAAACTCATGCTGCAGACCTGATCCAGGTATATGTGATGTTTCTAGGTATTATTTTAAAAGAATTCCTGACTGATGATGATGATAAAGATGCAGAGTGGAACACTTTCTTATAAGGCTTGTAACCTGAGTTTTGTCAGTGTCTGATTGTTGTTGAGGTTATATCCAAAAATATGAACAGCTAAGCAGAGTTGTGTTCCCGCACTACAGGATAGATGTAAAAAGCATGCTGTGAATTTACTTAGTATCATCTTTTCTCTTAGGAGGTAGTCAAGTCTGCGAAAGAATTGCGTTCAGGAAAGGAAGAAGCTCCTAGATGTAATTGAATGGCATCGTAAGTTTCCTTTTTGCCAAGGTATTTCTGTTAGCTAGGCATTTTCATGTAGTGTTCAAAGAAAATCATAAAATAAAATGATTGCTTAGTGAGTACTAAAAATTAAAGGACCCCAGAATGACTCTTTTCCATCCTTCTTTGCAAAGGTTGGTTTTCTTTAGCCTGGATCTTCCCCTAATAGGAGAATGGACTAGATGACTCTTGGTTGAGAATACCTCCACTTTTCAGGAGCTTCTGGGGTTTGATTGCGTTTCCTGAATACACTTTATTTCTGTTAGCATGACGTATTTTTTTGATGGTCTCATCTTGGACATGGGATGTAAAAACCATTTCATACAAAAGTTCCAACCTCTGACTGGTTACTAATACCATCCGATGCATTCTTTATTCAGTGGAGTTCTGTAAGTTGCACTACATTAATTGCTGGGTGGTTCTTCTGTCTTTAAGTGGACGATTGATTAAGCTGGAACAGGATTCAGGAGTACAAGTTAAATCAGCTCCTTAAGCTTAGTACAAAGCATGTTAAAATGTTTGTAGGTGGTTGGTTCAATAGTATACCAATATATTTAAACAAAAAATCACTTTGAAATAATTTATTTCTATGACTTTTCTTTAAAGAAAATGTTGTTGATAGGTGCTGTTGAGTTGGTGCCAACTCATAGCAACCTTACGCACAATAGAACGAAACACTGGCCTGTCCTGTGCCGTCCTCACAGTCTTCGCTATGCTGGAGCCCATCATTTAAAGAAAATAGGCATACCAATTTCAGTTGACTCCATTATAGAAAGCAGTTGTCCTGGGATATAGCTAGCTGACGTACCTATTACTTGACTTGACATGGTGTAACTAATTAATTGGTGCTTAGTGAACTGTGATCATCTTTAATCAAAAAAGACATTTGCTGAGCTGTATCTCTAAGGCTTCATGTGGAAGATTACTGAACCACAGTAGCATTCTCTGACTTCCTTTAGCCCATAGAAGTATCCGTTAAGTAGAAGGTAGAAGATGCCACTGGAAGTAAAGTTGACTTTTTTTTTAAAAACAGTATGGCTTTTCGAAATGTCAACTAAGCAATTACTTGGCTTTTTGGTATATTTTCCCTGCCCATTCTGGCCACAGAGTAGATACTCAGGTACTTTATGTGATACATGTCTTTGCTAAAGTTGGGTTGTGCTAAGTTTTTACTCCATGCTTATTTTGTTTGCTATTCAACATATAAAAAAAGCAACCACAAAGACCACTGCCATTGAGTCGATTCCGACTTGCAGCAAATAGGAAGTAACCGCTAGAGTGTATACTTACTCTTAAATTTTGTTAGTACATTCAGTTGCTTAAACTTTATAAATAAGCATAAACTACAATGTTTTTACTGAACATTCTAATCAAATTTCAGTAGATGCATTTAAATATAGTTTTTGTATTGAGGCACCATGGCAATACAAATGAAAAACACGACCAAGTCTTTATTCTCAAAAGATAGAGTACATGAATTCTTCACTAATCGTTATGTTGTAATGGATTTTTCAAGAACTTACGGGGCTAATGAGATCTGTTTTCTCTTGTCCACTGTATAACTCGTCTTCCTGACCTCTACCTGCAGATAAGAATACTGCTAGCATGCCCGTGGTAATGCGGAGGCTGAGAGATCCTGACATAAATCCTTGCTTGTCGGTAGGGTGGCTTTTAATTTTCATGAGTGTTAAGTTGGAAGAACAACCATCTAATTTTTGCGCATCTGTTTTTTGTAGTTGTTGAATAAAGTTATTTCTGTACAAAAAATATTCCTGGCCAGCGTATCCTATTTCACTAGAGCATGTTTTGGTATTCAAAATTTAGCTAACAACAAAAGATTCATCTCTTCCTTAGTTTCACTTATTTGTACAATATGCCCATGGTTAGTTGTCACTGGAATACTAGACAGGCATAGATAACACTGAGGAAAATTTTTAGTCCAAACATGGAAAATTGGAAGGTCTGACTGACACTTAAACTGCCACTAAAATTTGTTTTAATACAATAATTTCTTCATGTCCTTGAGACAAACTGAAAGTAATTGGCTGATAAGAGAATTAGCCTATTTAAAGCCTAAAGGTTTTCATAAAGGAATCATAAAAACAAGGTGTTTTGTTGTAATAGTAAGCTTTTATTGGCATTTATTTGATATGACCTGCAATACTTGTGGCTTTGCCAGCTTTAAATTACGCAGTCCTCAAACCAGTGCTATGAAAATTATACTTCCCAATGCTATATGCATTTTCCAAATACATGCATTCATTAAATATTTGGCATAGAAATTTAGTTTTGTTCTGTATATTAAATCAGTTTTGACAACTTTATTAAGTAAATCTGCTTAGATAGACGTTGTTTCTTATGTCTATGAAAACAAGTTACCCACCCCTGTAGTGAAAGCTTTCCTTTAGATGATCTCTCAGAATCATGCCTTTCACTTTGAAGTTTGTTATCTAGTCTACTTCCAGTTCAGACAGCTTAAATTTAATTCCCAAATGGCAGCTGCCCTCCTTTGAACTCATAGCTCTTTGTTGCTCACTTTGGTTTTGAAGTGATATTGATATCTATTAAAATTGCTTACATAATAGTGTATTTACTTGCACAATGGAGTGAATGATAGCCAAAATGCATTCAGATGAAGGGTGTTCACAGAGGTTGCTTTGATGTAGAACAGTTACTAGTGATTTACCTGGAATCTCCAAACCAGTACTAGCTCAGACATTTTAGGGTAGGAACTTGAAGAACTAGAGAGCTGTGCTGTGAATTGGAAGACTGGCTTCTCATTTTATGTTTGCAGCAGTGATTTTGAGCATATTGCACCTTGCCTCAGTTTAATGGTTACTACATTAAATGATCTCAGTTGGTACCTTGGCTCAAATTCCAATGATTAGATATTCAGAAAACTGACCCAGACGATTTCTGCCCTGAGTAGAGTGAGGGCTGGGAGATAATTCAGTTTTTATTAGTGTACAAACAGAAATGAACTGTTTCCCCGTATTATCTGCTTTCAGGAGAAAGGAGGGAAGTAGCTTCAGAATTTCTTTCTTCTTTTTTTTAAGATCTCATTCCAACTCTTAAATGATGCCTATCTTCCATATTAAAGGAATCTGATGCTTCTACCAGATGTATGGATGAAAATAACTATGACAGGGAAAGGTGTTCCACTTACTTCTTGAAGTACAAAAACTGCCGGAAATTCTGGGTAAGTAAGTCCAGCTTGATTAGCTTTCACGTAAAACCCCATCTCTTAGGCTTGAAACTGAGGTCTGAAATTAATCAATACCCACAGTCCTTTCCTGTTGAATGGCTGTAGGGAAACTTAATTTTTCAACTTTGTCCTTTAACCCTAAGAATCCTTGAAAGCTGTGTTTAGCTGCCTCATTCTACTCCAAGGTATAAGAATGTAGTTCTAATGTAGGTGGGTCTTTCTAGGTACACAAGTATCTATAGCCCTGAAACAAATAACCTTATTATAATTTTAGTTTTCCTGGAGATGAACAAAACATATAACTTTCCCTGCCATATAACACATAACCTTTGGCTTCTATTTCTGCCTCCTCCCCTTCCACCACCATCCATGGTAGTTAATGGTCCCATTTTTCCTGAGACATTGGTACACAATTACTGTTTCTCTTGCGTACTAGATCCAGCTACTTCCTTTCTCTTTGTGAAATTGACTGTTGGTTTTATTTAGCATTTATTCAGTAGCTTTTCTTGTGCTTTTGTGGTTACATGGAATATCTTCCATCCTAATTACTGTTAACATCATCCATCATGATTCCGTTGCCGTTGAGTCATAGTCTTGTGGAAATAATCATGTCTGTTTACTTGTTAATAGTTTGAAAACATTTATCTGGAGTCCCAGAATTAGTTTTTTTATTTTGTTTTTTAACTTGGTTTTAGAATTTCATTTTTGAGATAGCAATACAAAATTACTGGCAAGTGATTAATACATGACTGATTTTTTTTTTTCTTTTTTTTTTTTTTTTGTGTGTGTGTGTGTGTGCCTACATGCAGAATTCTGTCATGGTCCAGAGAAGACAGAGTGGAGTGAAGCCACCTATGCCTACAGCAGCAGAAAGAGATGAAATCTTGGGAGCACTGGGAAAAATGCCCTATTGAATGTTTGCATTAAAATTGTTTATATGACTTAGAAAATGATGAATATTTTTAGTAAGTGGTTACGGTGATCTTTTAAGATCTCACAGGCCTTACCCAGATAGTGCTTAAGTTCTACAAGGGGAGACAAAGTGTTAGCACTATGTCCTTTGTATTTGCTGTCAGTACTGTGGGAATGGTATGCCACTGCTGGCTGTTTTGTGGCACTGGGTTTATGTTACTTCCTGAGGGTACCTTAGTGTTAGGAAAGGTTACATGAGGAATTGAGCTTGTCTGCTGAGTCTTGAAAGAAAAGTAAGATTTGGACAAAGACTTAATGGGGGCTGGTGGGGGGCAGTGTTTACGAAGAAGGGAATGTGAGGAACAACATGATGGAAGGAAACCTTGAACCCAAGTTTAGAAAATAATCTGTAGATAATACAAACTTAGAGATTGAGGTAAGTGGAAGAGTGGTGGAAGAGAAGACATGAAAGGTTAAGTTGGAGGTAGCGTGTGGTGGGCCTTGAATCCCAGGCTCGTTCCAAAACCTCTAGCCTTCAGAGAACTGATTTTCACTTACCTTTATTTAAATATGGTTAGTATATTGGCTGGGAAGGGAAGCAAGGGGACAGGAAAATTGTTTTAAATAAATGGCATGCATAACTGGCTTATTTTCTCTCTTTAAGGAAAAGCTTAAAGGATTCCATAACTAAAATTTATGAAACACTGGGTAATTTTCTGAAGCTGCAGCTTCAGTTACTGAACCATGGTAATGGGGAAAAAAAGTAAATTCATTAAAAGTAGGATTTCTATTTCAGGATGAAGTGGGGCATAGAAAGGAAGGGTATGAGGATTCATCAGGTAAACTCAACACTAGGAGACTAGAGCTTAATTCCATTTTCTGATAATATACTAAAACAGGAATATTCCACATGGGGACTGGAGTAGATCTTGTAGCAGTTCCCCTTATATCAACCGCTTTTTTAATTCAGATTGTTTCATTTACAAAATAATTTTGTAAAAATATTTAATAAAATTTAACATACTAGATTATCAATGAAAACAAATTGCTTGTTGTGTCCCTCCTCAGATGAGAAGTTCTTGCTGTCCCTGGATCAAGCACATTATTTTAACAGCTGCTCACAACGAACTAGCCATCTTGTTGGTCTAAGTCCAAAACCCAGCTCAGATATTTTAAAGCCATATGATTGTTAAATGTAATTCATATGCTATATAAATCACCTACTTAAACTGTACAATTTTTTTTATGTAGTCACAGAATACAGCCATCACCACAGTCGATTTTAGAACATTTTCATCACCCTAAAAAGAAACTATACCCATTAGCAGTCACTCCCCATTTTCCCCTAATTAACCCCATCTCTTAGGCAACCACTGATCTTTCTGTCTAGTCTGGTCATTTATATAAATGGGATTATAGAATATGTAGTCTTTGTGACTGGCTTGTTTCACTTCGTGTAATCTTTTCAAGATCCATGTTTCAAGATTCATCAGTATTTAATTCCTTTTTATTGTTGAATAACATTCCATTGTATGAATATACCACATTTTCTTTATCAGTCGATGGATATTTAAGTTGTTACCACTTTTTCCCTATTATAAATAATGCAACTTCTTGAACATTTGTGCGCAGTTTATTGTGTGGGCATTCTTTTTGGATATATAAGTAGTAGTAGAATTGTTGGGTTGTATGGTAACTATGTTTAACTTTTTGAGGAACTGCCAAACTGCTTTCCAAAGTGGCTATACCATTTTATAATCCCATCAGCAGTGTATGGAGATTCCAATTTCTCCACATGCTTACCAACACTTGTTATTGTCTGTCTTTGATTATAGCCGTCCTGGTTGGTGTAATGTGAGCTGGTATCATTGTGGTTTTGATTTGCATTTCCTTCATGTCTGATGATGAGCATCTTTTCATGTGCGCATTGGCTGTTGTATAGCATCTTTGGAGAAATGTCTGTTTAGGTCCTTTGCCCATTTTTATGAATTGGATTAGTTGTCTTTTTATTTCTGAGTTATAAGAGTTCTTGATAAATACACTAGATACATATCCCTTATTATATGATTTGCTAAATTTTTTCCATTACATGGATTATATCTTCACTTTCTTAATGGTGTCCTTTAAAACAAAGTTTTTAATTTGGTGAAGTCCAGTTTATCTGCTTTTGTTTTGTTGCTTTTGGTGTTACATGATTAGGGACAGCATGAATCCAATCCCCAAAATGTGGAGATTGATCCAGTCCTTTCCCACTTCTGTATTCTCTTCACAAGCCACGCCCATGTCACTATTTGATCCTAGCCACCCAGACCTAGGTCAGAGATGACAAGTTAAAAGGACTCCATCCTTCAGACTGCTAAAGAGGTGGATGCCAGCCACAAGCTTGGGAGTCCACATGACACCCTTACTTTCTGACCTGCTGGCTCCTTCTGCCCCTTTGGGTTTGATCGTTCACTGAAACAATTCACGGAGTTCATGCTTACAACTGTAGCCAGGAAGGATATATACCAAGAGACACATGATAGGTTAAATCATGCCTCCTGAGACTAGCTGATATCAGCTTCCCAGGTGAGTATTTTCTGGTCTGATTAGCCCTCACTAGCCAGCACACATTCTCAGGTGTGTCCTGGAAGTCTCAGACCAAGGCATCCCAATTGCTCTAAGGACAACGACCACCTTTTTTAGCATAAAACTAGGTTCTTTACCCCACAGATACCATATCTAAGAAACCATTGTGTAATCGAAGGTCATGAAGATTTACACCTATGTTTTATTCTTGGAGTTGAATAGTTCTTACATTTAGGTCTTTGGTCCATTTTGAGTTGGTTTTTATATATAGTGGGAGATAAGATGCCAACTTCATTCTTTTGCATGTGGCTATCCAGTTGTCCTAGCACCATTTATTGAAAAAAGACTTTCTTTCCCCATTGAATTGTCTTGGCACCCTTGTTGTAAATCAATTGACTATAAATGTGAGAGTATTTCTGGACTGAATTCTATTCCATTGATCTACATGTCTGTCCTTAAAACGCCAGCACCGGAATGTCTTGATTACTATAGCTTTGTAGTGATTGCATAACTCTTTGATGAGTGTTTTCTATAAATATGTTTTCTGTGAAGTGCCTTTGATGACAAACTAATTAACTGTTTTGGGATTTTTGATCAACAAACCCTTAACATATGTTTTTATCTAATTATATATAGCTCCATCCAGGTAAAACTGTTCAATTCCAAATTTGTCCTCACTAGTTCCCTAAGTTGTTTGCTTCTTTATGCCTACCCTGATAATTTCAGTACACTTTTCTTGTAACCTGGTTGTTCAAGATCTCACTGCATCACTCTTGAGGGACAGAAGAGCACAGGGATTTTCTTCATCACCACTGTTAAATTTGCCACTATTGTATTTCTCTCTCTAAGATTCTAGTTTGGGAAATGTGAAGCTAAGTAACTTTATAAATTAATTGTGTTAGGATGGTAGTGAGTGCCATGATAAATTTTGGAGTCAGGTAACCCTTTGGTATCAACCATCAACTGACCAGCTATGTAGAAGGTGACCATTTTATTGTGTTCATACACAGCACACTCTTGTAGGAAGCATCTTATTACAGAGGAGTCTCATCCCAACCAGATGTGGAAAGGTGGTGCACCGTGTCTGTAACAAGTAAAAGCAACCCATTTGAGAATCATTTTACCTGTTTGTAAGCTCCTGGGGAACGTGCACTGTCATTCATGGTTATATCCACAATGCCTGGTGTGCTTCTAGTATGTAATAAACAATCAACAATTGTGTGTGTTTAGGGAAGAAATCGTTTTTAAAACTGAACACTTTAAAAACATGGAGGTTCAAACAATGTAAAGGGATATATAATTTACAATAAATTTGCCCTAGAAGCAGCCAATGTAGGGTTTTCAAAATTTTCCACCTATATATATCTGTGTTTTGTACAAAAGAAACCCCATAGTACAGGATTTGTAGGGTAGCTTGCATTTTTCACTTAATATAGTTTGGGTAATTGTCTATCAGCAGTCATAGATTTACTCCATTTCGTCAGTGGATGTAATTTTCTATTGTATGGTCATATGGTCATTTAACCCATCTCCTATTGATGAGTATGCTATTACAACCAAGGTTGCGATAAGCATTCGTACGTGGGTCTTTGCCCATGCATATTTTTGTCTATATGATAAATTTCTAACGATGGAATTTCCAGGTTCAGAGTTTCTGCGTTTTAAATTTTATAAGTATTGTCAAATCGTCCTCCAAAGAGGAGCTCACCAATGCGTACTCCCATAAACAAAGCTGAGTGTTTTCTTTGCTCACACTCTCAGTCCTGCTGCATACTTTAAAACTCTTTGATCCTCATCAGTCTCATGAGTGAAAATTGGAACAGGTGTATTCATTTCCTTTGCAGGGTTTTTTTTTTTTTTTTTTTTTTTTTTTTTTTTAAAAAATGATTTGAGGGACCCTTGGTATATTAAGGAAATTACCTTTTTGTCATATGTATATATTTTTCCAAGTTTGTCTCAACTTTGTTTTTGTTCTCCCTTCCCCCCACCCCGTGCAGAGTTTTACATTTAATGTAATTAAATAGATCAGTTTGTGTTTTCTGGTGCTAAGTAAGTATTAAATGAAATCAGGTACTGCTGTTACAGCTCAATTATGTTCAACAAATATTTGTGAAGTTCCTGTAATGTGCATAGTGCTAGGCTTAACAGTGTGGAGGCACATGGATGAATAAGTCAACATTTTGGCCCCCAAGGAACTTCACTGTTCTACAAGGGAACGTGAAATGAGCATGGTACAAATTACATCAAATGTCTAAGAGGGTAAGTAGCATTGATAAATGTGAAGGAGCTCATATACATAGCATATGTGGGAGCATTCCTTAGTGACTGAAGTCAGGGCATATGAAGGAGAGCGAAATCTAGAAAGGATGGGTTCAGATTAGGAAGGGCCTTGAATACTGTGCTGGTACTTTAGACTTTCTTCTGTACGTAAGGGAAAGCTATGAACGGTTTTGAGATGGTGAGTGAAGTCCAGTTTGTGTTTAGAAAAACAATTCAGGAGGCACTGAATCAGAGAGGTTATTACAATGACCTGGATCATGGCAACTGTTTAACTTTTCTCCACGTTGATATGTGCCACACTCCAATTCTTTTTCTATATTGCCACCAGGCTGATCTTTCCAAAAGGCACATATGATAATTTCCTTACTTAAAGTTCCCAATACCTGCTCATTGTCTCTGGATAAGGTCCAAATTCTTTACTGTGGCTTACAAGGTAAGATCTGGAGAAATTTCCAAAGGGAGCAGGCTTGAGGAAGTTGTGAAGGAGTTTATTTCTGGACACATAAAACCCAGCCGCGTTGTCAAGGATTTTGGATTTCAGTGAGTGAGACAGATATGAAAATAACTGTAACTCTTTCACGTACAGCATTTCCTGCCACACTGTTCTCTGAGCTCATCCTATGGTCATCTACCAACTTCTCCATATGCAACCTGGCCAAGAAGCTCTCTGAAGCGTTTCTAGGCACCCCCATCGGAACTCACCTCCTTTTCACTCCCCTCTCATCTCGAGTGTGGCATCCACTGTGTACACTGGGAGCTGGGTGCATAGCCAGATGTGGTAAAACTAAGTAAAGTCACCTTAAGTGCACTCTAATTTTCCACCTTCTGTTCTTATTTTGAAAATGAAGGAAGAGGAGCAGGAGGAGTGGGGGAAGGAGAGAGGGAGGGGGATAACAAGAAAGAGATGAAGAAAAATGTGCCTTAAGTGTCCAGTGCTTTATTCTGAAAAGGAGAGTAAAAGAAGTAGGCTGGTTTTGCTTTTCAGTTACAAACAAAAGAACAATTTTCACTGACAACCTCTGATACTATGAGTGTTTCTGCGATTGTCTCCGTGTCAGAGACCGCACTTGGCAGCCCTGGAGGCTCTTCCTTGAAGAGGGTCTTTGTGCGATCCAGACTCCAGAAAGTGCTGGATTGCACTCAGGTTTTCTCTGACAACTGGGTGGTGCTATTGCACAACAAAATGCAAAATCTGTTGTGGACCAGCTGCCTTCTAGGAAGACTCTTAAACCACGTTGAAAAGTCCATTCACCTGCAAAACCTTTTACAAAAGCTACCTGGGTCTCTGCATTTGATTCTTCTGCTTCTTTTACGTCTGTTCAGCGACCAGAGATAAATAGGCCTGGTATCCACTCAGATTGCTTCCGCTAGTCCTGGCAGTCCTCTGAAAGAAACAAAAATTATGGATCCTTTCAAAGCAACATCAGTGTTAGTGGTATGAGGGGAAGAGGGCAAGTTACAAGGAAAAGTGGGCAAGAGGAGGAGAGGAAATGAAGGAGATGGAAGAGGTGTTGAGAGGGAAGAGGACAGGACGTACCTGGGTGTAGGGCTTGGCAAGGGGTGCAGTGAGCACTTAGAATAAAAGGCCATTCACAATGAACATGAAAGTCCCAAGGCCAGGAACCAAAGCAAAAGAGCTTGCTTAATACAGAGAAGTAGCACACAGTGTGATGTGAAGAGAGCACTATTTTTGGAGTCAACATACCTGGGCTAGAGTTTGGGCTCTGACACACATTCCCTGTATGGTCTCAAGTAAATTGCCTAATCTTTTAGAGCCTCTCCTTCAAAATATGGATTAAAAAAAAAAAAATGCCATAACTATCCTGTAGGTTGTTGTGAAATGTAAAAATAGTCTTCACATATGTTGTGCAAGTAGATATTATTAATAGGTGAAATGCACCAATATAAATTGATACTGGTAGTAAGTGAAAACCTCAGGTATTTTTGGTCAACTCTAGTAAAGCAATAATATTAACTACTACAACCTTTTCACTTGACATCCTTCAAGCCTCCCCACTAAGAAAGCACCCTCCCTCTGCTAAGAGGTCACAAAAAGGCAAATAGATTTTTTAATTTTTTATTTCACTGCCTCACTCTTACAGTTTTACCATATGATTTGGTCTAGAATGTTTTCTCCTCTATTTCCTTCTTGCTCACTCTGTACCACTGTTGATGTTAGTGCCATCAAGTCGGCTTCGAACTCATGGCGACCCCTGCACAATGGAATGAAATGCTGCCCAGTCCTGCACCATCCCCATGATTGGTTGGGGACCATGATTCATAGGGTTTTCAGCGGCTAATTTTCAGAAGTAGATCATCTAGTCTGTCTTAGTCTGGAAGCTCCAATGAAACCTGTTCAGCATCATAACAACATACAAGCCTCCACAGATAGATGAGTGGTGGCTGTGCTTGAGGTGCATTGGCCAGGAATCAGACCTGGGCTCCTGCATGGAAAGGTGAGAATTCTACCACAGAACTACCAATACTTCATCAAACCAGTTGCTATTGAGTTGATTCTGACTCATGACGACCCTTATCCTTGTTCCTTTATATATACCTGAAGTCTTCAATAAGGAAGAACAAATTAAAAAAAAAAAAAATTTGGTGTGCAAGGGAAGGGGGGAGGTTATTTACCAAGTCATTCAGAAGAAAATTATTATCCATTGATGTTCAGGGCATGACAAGCATAAATAAAACTGACAGTTGGCTAGATTGCCCCTCCACCGTTGAGCAGGAACCCTCTCCTTTCTCTTCTCCTCGAAAGCTGACATTCATTCCCTTCAGAAAATGCCTCAAGTCTCTTCTGATCCCCTCTGGAAACTCACTCTAGTCCTTCCCTAAAGTAACTTGTCAACCTTACATCAGCTTCCTCTCTTTTCACCTTCTCTGGGCTTAGTGTTAATACACACAGCTCTAGCTGACTATGCACATGATTATATGTTTGTGCCTGTCGCATTGTCTCTGTGTTGTTTTCATTATTTGCATAGCACTTTGCAGTTTACAATGTATTTTTATAAATATCAGCGTATTTAAAACAGTACAATCCTGTGAAGTCAGTATTTCTGGTTTTCTGATGAAAACTAGACTCAGGAAGTTTAAAGAAACTGCCAGTTGAACACCGTTGCCTTATGACTATTATTCAAATTACTGTTCATTTCGCTGTTTAGCACATATGGAGTCTGTACATAGACAAAAGGCTTCTCTGTAGGGGATGTAAAAAATGAGTAAGAGAAGTTATATTCTAGGAGACAATTTACAGTGTAACCAACACTATTGACTGGACAAATGATTCTTTAACAGAGCTTTTCATCAACTCTGAAAAGTCTTTCAAAATGCTTGATTTTGGGTGCCCTGCTGAACCCTGTCCTGTTCCCTGCTGTTGAAGTAATAATGAGAGGTGACATTAGTGAAGATGACAGTGCCCTTTGTCATGACATACATAGACAGGAAGAAAAAGGCAAAAGGCCTGGATGATCTGCAAAGTGGATTTATTTTAGGTGGTTAGGTTGTTTTCGTCATTTTGTTGTGCTGAAGAGTTCCCTGACACATTGACAAACTCATTGAAGACTTGGGGAATCATGAATTGGGTGGGAGTATTTGCAGTTTATAGTAGTACGTGCACTTGGCAACCAGAGTTTCATCTCCTCTCCCTCCTTCTTTCATTTCAAATGTATATGTCACCTTGTAGAACAGCATTCCAAACCTTTGACAGCTTCTGTATATAATTTCCACTTTTGAAGAATGTCTTTCACAACTCTAATAGACTATCTTTCTCTATCTGTTTGGAAAACAAAACCCAATAACAACAACAACAAAATCCAGACTCTAATTAATTCTTCCATAGTCCAGCTAACCATAGGGTGGACAACTCCAGCCCTTCACAGCCTTATGACCTCCATAACTAGTACAAGAGTGTTTAGAGGAGTGTTTGAGTCAGTTACCTATATCTATTTTTTTTTTACCCCATTTTATGTATTTCTGTGTATATTATTTCTTTTTGGTGTGTGGGCATCGGAGAGATGTGTGGGCTCTGTTGTTGTGCTGGTTGGATTTGTAATCCCACTCTACTTTCTGTGTGGCTTTGGGTAAATTCCTCAGACTTTCATGTTTCAAGTTCTGCAACTATTAAATGCCAACCTTAGATTATGATTGTGGGCATTGAGTAAGACAATGTCTATAAAAAGCTTGGCACAGTGACTGGACCATCAAAAGCAGTAATGTTGCTATTATTGTTAGCCGCCATCAAGCCCATGCACAACTGTCATGGATTGAATTATGTCCCCCAAAATGTCAACTTGGCCAGGTCATGATTCCCAGTATTATATGATTGTCTACCATTTTGTCATCTGATGTGATTTCCCTATGTGTTGTAAAGCCTATCACTATGATGTAATAAGATGGATTAGCAGCAGTTATACTGATGAGGTCTACAAGATTAGAGAGGGTCTTAAGCCAATCTCTTTTGAGATATAAAAGAGAGAAGCAAGCAAAAAAGACAGTGGGACC